CGTCATTATCAACCTGTTCATATAAACTGTTAACTCCTTGAGCAGAATATTCACTCCATGGCTTTAAAACCTATCAATCAGCAGAGTTTATTGCTTAAATTGAGAGAATTAGCGCATCAACTAATATTTCAGTAATCACTGATCCATTATTATAGCACTATACATATAATGCACAAAAACTACAAAATACTCAACAATGAGACAGGGAATAAAGATTGAAAGGGCAACGGATTGTTGAACAAAAAGTTAATATAGATTAAAATCTAAATGTATATGCTAACATGAGAGGCTCGATTCGAACTTATTCCGCAATTCCCGTTCCTGGTTCTGCAGAGTCCTAGCCATCTGCGATTTACATATATTCTGTATATGTCGGTTCTCGCATAGGCGCAAGCATATTGGAGCCATGTAGAATAAGACCTCGAAATTCATGAAAGACTCAGGTGCAGTGGATGGAAAGGATTGATTACAATAGACTTAGTAGATTTACATTGGATCAAGCAGTTGCATCTATCTGGACTTTTACGACATTCCTATATGGCAGCTGAGCAGCTCTGACTACAATTTTCAGAACTGATCGAAATTTGTGTAAATCCACTTTGCGAAACGAGAGTAAGTATACTGGCGAAACGTGATTAGAAAAAAATGCAAGTACTTAGAAACGGTACCCTGATTCCTTTGGGGGTTGTAATAATATTGGACGTTTAAACAATAGCTTCATCGTCTTTGATAACTATTTTCTTGCATGTGCACCGAAATACAGACTTTCTCTACTCTGACACCAGTATAGTTTGCCTCTGAACCCCGTCAATCTTTAGGTTCTACTGCGACAGATAGGGAGCGGGGCAGTTTGTTAATGTATCACCGCAATGCTTGTTGAACCGGAATAAAATTCTTTGGTATTACTATGATTAATGAGCAAGCCATTTTCCCTTACCAGTTTGAACAGAATACATCTACTGATGTAACTGCATACTGTTCCAACGCATCATCGGTATGCTTTACGCCGTTATTCGGGGATTTAGCTTGTATGCAAGGTATCTTTGAAGAGTCAGAGATAAGATCGATCGTTATACATGATCTCTATTGTTTGCATACGACCTGATTGCGGTCATAGAAATAGTTGGCTACCAGCGCAAGGTATTTGGATCAGTACCGCGAGAACAACGAATTAGTACAAGCTCTTCACGACGCATGGTATTGGATGGCTGCAGTAGTCTAGAAATAAGTGCGGGTTATGAACCACCTTTGTCGCAACCTTCAGCAACTGCATTCATCAAATGTGCCCAAAGGTCAATGTAGCGTTTGTGCTCCTCGCAACCGAACTGGCGATTGTCAGCTAGCAAAACCGCTTACTTCTGAAGTCCTTGTTGCGGTAAAGTTTCCATGCATTTCAAAGAACTGCTATTGCAGCAATAGGATGGAAATCCTTTTCGACGGCAGAAGCAGGTTTCTCTGGCAGTGGAGTGATTGCTGCGATGAGTCACATTTGAAGAGGGTCACACCTGAGTTTGAAGCAGAGTCCGTTGAGACACTTGACCTAACATTGTTCTTGGCCGTTCTTGGGAGAGTTCTTCTGTCGTTTGGGCAGGTAATAGCAGTTTCGCCTTTCTTTCTCAAAGCAATCGCAACACTTACCCAAACCATAGGAGATGCGCCTTCAAAATTTGGAGAACCAGCAGCTGTACATAAAAGCTGCTTTCGAATTTGATCTTTGGACCATGTCGAGATGCGTGAACTGAGCGAATTGTCTCACAAAACTGTTTTTTACGCTTGTACTCGAGATCGAAGTTATTCGGTAATGGCCCATGATTCATGACCATGCATCCGCATAAAGATAGATTTGAACACTGAGAGCTTAGTTTTCAGACTGAGTCACAGTGAGTCGGGCTAGTTCACACGCAGAACGCCACTGGCTACTACGGTTTGCCGGTCCTTCTCTTCCTTAAATTTTCCATCACTAGTAAATGCGATTCCGAGGTGAATTTTTCCACCAGCTCCACTACTTCTCCGTTAATCTGAAGAGAGCAACCGGCAGGAGAACGAGAACGCACTAGACTTTGTTTTAGCTCTGTTCACATGCCGGTCACGTCGCACTCGGCTGCGAATCTCTCCAGAGAGCGTTTTAGATGAGTTTCGACATTTAGAAGATGCCAATAAAAGAAATTCGTCTGCAGATTGCAGTCTTCCCGTCTCGACATTTGCGCTGATACAGGCATCGTCTGGCTGCGCCTGACTATTCTAGCATGCAACACAACCAGGGGAGAGGACAGAATGTAGTCTCGGCCAAGACTAGTGCCAACCATGAAAAGTTTCGACTTAATGTCATCTAATTTGACGTAGCACCTGCCATAAATAGTGCCAGTGGTATATGTTTAGTGACTGGATGGCTCATAACAACAGCGTCTGCAGGCACATCGGTAGCTATGTTACGTGGGATCCGTTTTTTAGCCTTCTCGTGGCCAGCAAAGGACGTGTAAGCCGGATGAACGAACTATAGTTTCTTAACCTTTTGGCATAGGGCGAAGATCTGGTTAGACGTACCTCGGCATGACCTAAAGCAACCCTTTTCTTTTTGGACCTCAGAGTTAGTTATTCTGCGGCACTTCCTCTGATTTCTTGGCATGGACTTTTCCAGGGAGGCGCAGTAAAGTAATACCCGGATAGTGATAAATCCATATGATCTGTCCTCTTGAGCAGGAGCATACTGAAACCCTGCTATCCACTCCTCAGGTTCTTTTCCCGTAGTCACTGACAGAAACGTGTTAGCCACAATCTGTCTTATTCGCCTAAAGGTTTATGCGTGTCAGGGCGGATTTCATTTAAGCGATTCCAACAGCCCTGCCAGTTCTCAAGCTTTTTACAGCTTCTTTTACATGTCAAGTGATAGACGAATGTCCGTTGCCGGCTAGGCTAGCCTTCCTGCAGTTGGTCGGACTTAAGGAGTTCATCAAAATACTGTCGCCATCGCTGGAGTACGTTTTCTTCCTTGGTAAGAACGGGTCTGGATTTGTCCCTCAGGACACTCAGA